TAATAACCTGCAATCTTGCTTCATGACAAGTGGCTTATGATAAACAATTTATGACTTCCTGCTATTTAAGCTTTTACTAAAATTTAAAGTTACTAAAAATAAGAATTCTAGTCGATGCATGTAATTCTATATATACAGTGTACCAAAGAATAAGATATGTTTTTAATAAGAAAATTATAAAGGAAACATAATGTGTCTTTATTATACTTTGTTTAATTCAGAGGTTATTTAAAGGTTGAATCAAATAAATTTAGAGGCCGGGTGCGGTGGCTCACGCCTGTAATCTTAGCCTCTCTGGGGAGGCCGGGCGCGGATTGCTGTGTTTGTGCTGTTGTTTTTTTTTCTTTCTCTCTAGTATTGTTATGATTATTGGCCACCTAATATATACTATTAGAAAAAATTAGCCCGGGCGCATCGTGTGGGCTGCATCGCTGTACTGCCAGCTACTCGGGAGGCCTGAGGCAGCGGGATTGCTTTGGAAGCCCAGGAGTTTGGCAGGTTCGCTTTGAGGCTAGCTCGACCCACGCGGCGATCTCACTCTAGCCTGGGCACACAAAGTGTGAGAGACGTGCTCAAAATAAGATAACATAAATATTTAGAAAGGAATACAACAAACTTCACTTCGTGCAGAAAAAAGATGTAAATGGCTCACGGCCTCGTTAATCCTAGGCACTTTTGGGCAGGCCGAGCGGGTGGATTGCTCAAGGTCAGCGAGTTCTCGAAACCAGCCTGAGCCCGAGCCCCCGTCTCTACCAAAAATAGAAGATAAATCAGTTGACCAACTAAAAATACGTATATCAAAAATTAGGCGGCATGGTGCGCATGCCTGTATCCCAGGCTACTCGGAGGTGAGGCAGCTAGGATCGGCTCGAGCCGCGGAGATTGAGCGTTGGCGGCTGAGCCACGGCGACGCCACGGCACTCACTCCTAGCTGGGCACAAAGTGATACTGCTGTTCTCAAAAAAAAAAAATGTAAAAAGCGATGAATATAGAAATATACTTTTTGATAAGAAATGTTAAAAGTCCCGGCGCAGTGGCTACGCCTGTAATCCTAGCTGTCCGGGAGCCCGAGGGGCGGATATTATTCAGACTCGGAGTTCGAACCAACTGAGCACGAGCGAGCCCGACAGACAGGATTGCTTGACCAGGAGTTGGGTTCTGTGAGCTAGGCGTGCACAGCAGCAATCACTTCTAGCCTGGCAACAAATGGAGAACTCTGTCTCAAAAAAAAAAACAAAACCAAAGGAAGAAAGGCTTAAACAGAAGAACTAGTGTACAAGAAAGGATTTGCATGGAATTCTTTTTTTCTAAATGTGAGTTATTTAGAAAAAGGGAGACTGTTAGGACAAAACATAGTTTTAGACATGTTTCTGTAGATAGTGGTGTGGTACGTCACAGGTTGAGAATAAAATTTATAAAAGGATTTCCCCTAATGTTGACCCTTTGAAAAAAAAAAGAGAAAAAATTTATAAAAGAATTTATTAAGGAATTTTATATGGTCCAGTTGCTATATTAAAAATTTTGCCGGCGGCGTGCTCAGCGCCTTAATCTAGCTCTTGGGAGGCGAGGCGTGCGATTGCTCAAGGTCAGGTAGTTCGGAAAGCAGCTGAGCAAGAGCGAGACCTGTCTCTACTATACAATAGCAAAGAAATTAATTGGCGATACTGATATAAGTATTACAAAAATTACGGCATCGGGTGGCGCATGCCTGTAGCCAGCTCTCGGGAGGCTGAGGCAGAAAGACTCGCTCCAGCGCCGAGGAGTGTTGAGGTTGCTGTGAGGCTAGGCTGGATGCCACGGCACTCACTCGTACGTGGACAACAAGCGAGCTCTGTCTCAAAAAAAAAAAAAAAAAAAAAAAAAAAATTTTTTTTGGCTAAAAAGATCTCTGTAGACTATAATTGTACCGTCTAATGAAACAACATAGTGGTACGTCATTTGGATTCTAGTTAAGCGTGTTTTCCTTTTTAATTAAAAAAAAGGTCACACTAGAGGCACTACCAAGGTTCTTTCTTTAATTTTGCGTAATTGCCTAGAAAAGCCAGCAAGATTCATGCCTTATCAGTTAATCCCTGTACTCTTTTGTTAGGTTTTGATAACTAAAAAAAAAAAAAAACTTTAAAAGGGTTAAGGATTACATCCATGTAACTATCACCTTTAAAATCTTTGATGACTAGCTCTCTTGATTAAATAAATGACTCTTATTTTATAGTGATTTGTGATTGTATTTGAACAAAAGTTTTTAAAGCCTTTTATATCTGACAAAACTTCCGAAATTTAAATTTTAAATCCAGCCTTTTGACCTTAAACTAGCTTTTGTTTTATATTACGGTCACTGAAGTCTAGCACAGACATTAGATTTATTTGGTGTATCAACAACATCCAGCGGCCGGCGCGCCGGTGGCTCGCGCCTGTATCCTAGCTCTTGGGAGGCCGAGGCGGGGCGGATTGCTCAAGGTCAGGAGTTCAACACCCAGCCTGAGCAAGAGCGAGACCCGTCTCTACTACTAAATAGAAAGAAATTAATGGGCCAAACTGGATATTATATAAAAAATTAGCCGGGCTGGTTGGCACATGCCTGTAGTCCCAGCTACGGTGGGCTGAGGCAGGAGCGGATTGCTTGCAGCCCAGGGAGTTTGAGTGCTGCGAGCCAGGCTGACGCCAGGACTCACTCTTCCTGGACTAACAAAGCGGACTCGTGTCTCAAAAAAAAAAAAAAGAAAAAACCCATCCAGTCAACATTGTCAAATATGAAATGGCATTTAACTTTCTTTGGACTATACTTGTATAAGTATGTTATTAATATATGTTCCAATATTGTAAAATATTAATATGTCTTGGTGTATGTTATCAGTAATAGTTATGGTTATTATGTAAACTACTATATGCCATAAAAATAACCAATTTGGTTTGTCAATTATCTCTAACCATGGCTAGTCCAAGTTTTATCATCTTTAGAAAATTACTATTTTACTTTGATTCATCTCAGAAAGTGGTTCTTTCTGGCTAAGTCCAAAGTTGGCTTCTTCAAGTAAAGTCGTGGAAAGGACTGACAAATTCACTTGAATACTGGTTTCTGATAACTTTGGAGATTATATACCATTGAACTGAAACAAAACAAACTTCCAGGACTTTAATTTTAATTAGAAAACTGATGTGACCATGAGTATAGCTAACTCAACCTCATGAGGCTGAACTAAATTTTCATAAAAAGACTTTTTATTTAAAACATTACTAATTCTTTTGTTTTGTTTTCCAGAGTCTTGACAAATTTTAAGTAAATACCAAGTTTACCAATCTCTGAGACCTAGAACCATGCGATCTGCCAAAGCCCTGTTCAAATATCCTCCCTCTAGGCCCAGGGACTATCGCGGAAGAGGGGGGCGCGTGAGATTGTAAGGGCCAATTCCGAGGGATGGAATTAGTTTTTAGATCCTCCAGATCAAGGAGGAGCACACAGAAGCCTAAAGGAATACTAAATGAAATACTCTGTCTTTTCAGGCCACATGTTGCAGATATCCATCCCAATCATAAAATTTTTTTCCTGCTTCCTATAGACTTAGAACTTCCTGAATATCATTTTTCTAAGTTATAGATTTATACAAAAGGAGATATGAGTAATTTATCAGCCACCTTAGTATAAATTACCAAAGAGACTAAAATATTATGACACAATAAAAGTCTCTAAATTCCCTTAGCTTAAATATTAATGTTGCTTATATTTCCTAAAAGTCTACCACTAAGCCCAAGAATATAATAGCTCAATACTTATAGGTAAATTAGTTTTATAACCTTGCCTTTGACATTTTGAATTTTACTCTTATGTCATCTAGAAGATTTTAAAGTGTTAATGAGTGTCTGTCTACCTCCAGTCCTGTTTGGCCTAAAATATTTAATTGGCTATAAGCCCCCTTTCGGCTCTTCAGTCCTCTTGGCCACAAGGGTCCCACCGAGGGACTGGATGGACCCAGGGCAGGTAGCCACACCACCCTGGCAACGGATGGGACAAATAAGAGTTTGGCCATAGATGCTGCCTCTGACAGATCTTGGCCAAAAGCGGGGGAATTATGAACTAAAATAAAATTTTAAGGCTCACCTCCCCCCCCAGCAGCTGACTGAATGGACCCCCTAGTGGCCATAGGAGTATCCTAAAACCAAATTGCCTGCCAGGAGGAGGGAGGTCAGACGTGCCTCATCATGCCCCCTCCCTTTTTGGGGACATCCTTTGTAACCCATTAACAGGCCTAAAGGTATGCAAGACAAGCCTGCAAGTGCTCAATTTATGCAACAAATCTATGTCTGGTGGCTAATCTCTTATAAACAGCTCCTTATCTTAAAACTCCAAGCCTTTAGACAAAGCTTCCTATCTTTAACCAATTACAAGTCAAAGAATATTTAAACCCACCTATAACCTATGACGACTGAACTATGATCTTTTCTTTTGCTCAAAATTCCTTCCTAAAGAGGCTAGATGAGTCAGGCTCACAAATGGTAAATTCCCACTAAGCAGGTTTTGTTAACCAAATATGGTTCCTTATAGCCTTAACAACACCTAAAAGATAGAAAGTCCCCATCTTAACGCAAACATCTGAGCAGATCCTTAACTTGAAAGATTCTCCTGTCTGGCTCTCCCAGTGTTCACACCTTTATCTTAAATTAAGCATTTCCTTTCTGGTCTTATAGATAAAGCATAAGTCTCTCAGCCAGTTGTCAGCCAAAGAATCTTTAAACCCACCTATAACCTATAAGTCCCCCCAACCCCACCCCCCACCTTCACCCCCCGCTTCAAGATGTCCCACCTTTTTGGGCCCATGTATTGATTTATCATTTACCTGTAACTCCTGTCTCTCTGAAATGTATAAAACCAAACTGTAACCCATCCACAGCTAGTCCACTTGCTGAAGTCTTCTTGGGCATGGCTCTGGGTCATGGTCCTCAAATTGGGCTCAAAGTAAATCTCTTTAAAATTACTTGACAGAGTTTGGTTTTTTTTGTTGTTGTTGTTCTGATAACACTACTTATGTCTATACAGCATATGTGTATGTGTTTGTGATATAAAATGCAGCTCACAGCCCAAGTAGAGTATAATCAATGGGGAAGTCCCCAGCTGGAAAAGGGCCACATATTTCCTTCAGGAGATATACTAATGTTTTCTGTAGAAAGTTCTGAAAGAGTAAATAATTCTGGAAAAGGATTCTCCTGAGGACTCGGATCTCCTGAAGACGAAAAAGCTTAACGTGAAGGGAAATTTATGAGTCTCCTTACTGGAGAGAATGGAGGCCTGTTTGCAAATATCAGTCTTTTCAGCAAACTTTTCTTTTTGACCTCTTGACTTAGTTTGGCCTTGGGTGTTCTATGGGCCACATGGAAATGAGTTTTATGAAAGTAGTATTTTTTTTCTGGAATGTACAATTGGCTTAGCAGCCTCCATACTTTTAACTCTAGCATTTGCGTCTTCTAAAACAAAAATGGAGTCTCTCAAGTCTTCTGATTTGCTTTTAACCTCAGGTGGGGGGTTTGCAGTGGTGGGAGCAGAAGGCACGCCCACTGAGTCCTGTTTCAGTAAAGAGACAGCTGCCTTATGCTCCTGTGTGAACGAAGGCTTGGTGCGGAAGGAGATTTCCACAAACTTCCTGGGCCTCTGCACCGCATGAAGCTGTTCCAGTTCACTGGGCACTGGTCTCCCAAACCTTCTCGCTTTGGCAATTTTCTTTGCAATTGGCCAGGCACTCTGTTTTCTCCTGATTCTCTCCTCTTCTAAGATCTTTTTCCTTATGCCCTTGGGCCCCTTGAGGACTATCTTCATCCTCTGCCGCCTTTTCCCTATACCCTCAATCTCTGCCAGGCTGCTTTCCTGTGGCTGAGCAGTTTCCAATTTTGGGGGAAAGATTTGGTGTTTAAATTTGGGACCTAAAAGGCTAGACTGCATAAGCATGGGAGTTTTTTCTTTCTTTTTAACCTTGTCAATTTTGTCTTGAATTTCTGCATCTAACAAATTTTCCAGAAAATAGAGTTTCCTCCATTTCTTTGTGTAAGGTGAATTGTTGGATGCAGGTTCAAGAGAGGCGGTCTTTGTATTGTTTTTGAGATGACTCAGGGTCTTGTCTCCATCTTGTACATTTGAAAAAAGCAGTTTAATGAACGGTAATAACGTTGATTCTACATCTTCTAGATTTTCCTCTGAGAAGTAAGGCAATATGTAATTTAGTGCACTAATAACATCGCTTTTGTCATTGAAGTCCACCTGCTTGTTCATGAAGCCTGACAAGCTGATGCCATTTTTATCTGCAGGTGTCTCTGGCTCAATAGTCAGCTCAGTGCTGGTGTGCTGCTTCCGGGCTTGTAATACCTTCATGAGTGTAGATCCTCCTGTATTCCCTAGAGATGCTTCTTCAACTGTGAAAAAGGAAGAGTGTTTTTTTTCAGGATATTATGAGGGTACAAACATTTTAGGTATATTTTATGTCTTTGTGCCCTTTATGTCTTTATGCCCTTGCCCTCTACAATGCTCACTGCATCCATTAGTTGTGAGTTTAATTCTCCCAACCCCCTAATTCCTGGAGAATATTACTACCCTGTTAGCACCACAGTGTTGAACAGTCAGTGCCCAATCCTAACCTAGTGTTGGAACTGTCACCTCTTGATATACTGGACATTGAACTACAACTTCCTTAGGTGGCTTTGGAGGTTGAATTGGAGTCTCCTGCATGACTGGAGAAAGTTCAACATGTGTAGTGGGTTCTGGAGTTACGGCAAGCTCCAGGTCCAAAGGTCAAAGTGTGACAGTGGGCGATATTGGATTCTGGACTTGATCCTGACCTGTTGTTGGAATTGTAACCTCTTGAGATATTGGGGGTTGAGCTACAACTTCCTTAGGTGGCTCTGGAGGTTGATTTGGGGTCTCCTGCATAATTGAAGAAAGTTTGAAATCTATAGTGGGTTCTGAAGTTATGGTAAGCCACAGGTCCAAAGGTTGACCTGTGACAGTGGGTAATGTTGGATACTGGGCTTGATCCTGACCTGGTGATGGAACTGTCATCTCATAATTCACTGAAGGTTGAACTACAACCTCCTTAGGGGGCTCTGAAGGCTGAGCTGGAAACTCCTGCTGAGGTGGAGAAGGTCTGACCTCTTCAGCGGACTTTGGAGGACGGCCCAAGGCTTCCTGCTGGTCCCAGATGTTCACCTCCTTAGGGGACACTGGTGGCTCAGATGGGCCTCCTGTTGAACTGGGAGAACGTATAACTCCTTAGGAAGTGTGGAAGCTGAGCTGTGCCTCTGCTGGTAGGAGAAGATCCAAACTTTCAGGGGGGATCATGAAGGGGAAAAGGGATCAGACTGGTTGCAGAAAATTCGCCCGTTCAGTGGAAACTGTAGAGTAAGCAGTGCTCCCACTACTGGGTAAAGGCTCAGCATTTGTCGGTGGGCTCTGCGTATGATGATGGTTAATCTCCAAATCCACATGTTTAATGTAGGTTTTAGCAACTTCGAATGGCCTTCTGAAGAAATCATAGAGGCATATCTAGAGGTGAAAATGTATTGTATGACTAATCGGACTGAAAACTGTAGTAGGATGTGAGCTGTAGTTGTGTGCTGCTGCTGGCCTGGTAAAGGTCTAACACCCACAGTGGGCTCTTGAGGTAATGCTGAGATTTCCTGCTGGCTTAGAGATGGTTCCTCAATATGCTCTTCAGGCTGAGTTGGGACCCCTTAATGGATTGGAGAATGTTCATCTTTTTCAGGGAAGTTTGGCTCTTCTTGGCCTTTCAAAGGTTTAAGCTGCTGAGGGGACACTGAAGACTGAGCTGGGGCCTCCTGTTGGGTTGGAATTTCAACTTCATTAGTGAACTCAGGAGTTGTGGTAACCACATGATCCACAGGTTTTATAGTGACATTGTGTAACATTGAAGGCTGAACTGGAGAAACTGTTACCTCATGATGCTCCGGAGGTTGAGCTATGACTTCACTAGGGAGCTCTGAAGGCTGAGTTGAGGCCTCCTGCTGGGTTGAAGAAGGTTCCACATCATTGACTTGCCCTGAGAGCTCAGCTATAGCCTCTTGGTGGACTGGAGAAGTTCCCACCTCTGTGGTAGGCTCTTCTGCTATGGTGAGCTACTGACCTGAGTGAAATGTAACCACATTGGGCAAGTCTGAATGCTGAGTTTGATGGTTATCTGGACATGAAACTGTTACTTCATGATGCTCTGGAGACTGAGCTGGTTGCTCCTGCTGGATTGGAGGAGGTTCCACCTCCTCAGGATGTTCTGAAGGCTGAGCTGGAGATTCCAGCTGGGCTGCAGAAGATTCAGTCTCCTTGGTAGGCTCTGAAGTTATGGTAACCTCCATATCCGGAGGTTTAACTGTAACATTGGGGCAAATTATAACAATGAGGGTGAACTGTCACCTCAGGATTTGGTGGAGTTTGAGCTAACTGTCTACAGGGGACTCTGAAGCTTGAGCTATGGCCTCCTGCTGGGTCTGAGAAGGTTCACTCTCCTCAGGAAACTCAGAAGGCTGAGCTGGCTGCTCCTGCTCACTAATGGAAGGTTCAGCCTCCACAGGAAAGTCTGGAGACTCAGCTGGGGTCTCCCTCTGGGTGGCAGAAGGTTCAAACTCCTCAGGGAGCTCTGGTCTTTGAACTGGGCCTTCTTGTTGGGTTGAGGGAGGTTCAATCTCCTCAGGAGCTAGAGCCTCTTGTTGGGTTGAAGAAGGTTCTACCTCATCATGGTGCTCTGGGGGCTGAGCTGGGGGCTATTGGTGACTTGGAGTAGGTTCAATGTTGTTACCTGGCTCTGGAGTTACTGTAAGCTCCAGATCCACAGGTTTAACTGTGACTCTGGACAAGGCTGAGCCTTGAGCTGTAGTTCAACTTGGAGATGGAACATTTACTTCATGATGTATTGACGGCTGAGCTACAACCTCTTCAGTATCAGGTAGCTGCTGAGCTGTGGCCTCCTGCTCTGTTGAAGAAAGTTCAACCTGATCAGGAGGCTGAGCTGGGACCTCCTGTTGGGTTGAAGAAGGTTCTGCCTCCTGGGGGATTGTTCTGGGCTTCTAGCTAGAGTGAAAAAGATTGGATCTTCTCAGGGGTCTCTGGATTTTGAGTTTCATCCTCTAGATGGAATTGGGAAAGTTCAGGGGGCCCTGCAGGCTCATCTAAGTTCTCCAGGAATTCCAGAGGTAGGCCACGAGGATAAACTTTATCCATACTTGGATCTAGATAATCATCATCTTGTAGAGTTTGTTTTTGATGCTGAGGTTTTGATGCAAATTGATTTGAAGTTCCAAAAACCACCTTAGCAACCTGTGGATGCTGGGCTAGACCTTTCTTTAGGTTCTTTGGTGAAATAATAAACCTTGTCTAGAGGTGAAACAAGTATTTCCGATGCCTGGTGATCTGCAGCCTGATCTAGACCTACAGCTTGAATCTTACTTCTGAGTTGAGGAGGCTGAGGTAGGACTTGAGTCTGATCCCAACCTGGCACTGGAACCACCTCCGGGAGCCTTTGTTGTCGAATCAGCTTGTCATTCAGATCCCGATGTGGAACAGCAAACTGATCTCGCCCTGGAAGCAGCTCTTGAGCTGACTGCGTGACCAGGAATGGAGCCGAAGTCTCAGTCAACTCCTGAGGCGGGGCCAACATCTGGGAAGAAGCAGAGGACCCCAGGTAAGCAAAGCCCTCGGGGTCTGCGGAGGGTGTAAGCGCAGGGGGCGACTCGGGTGGGAGATCAGAGGAGCGGGAAGACCGGCGGTCGGTCGGTCCTCGGGGTTCGGAGGTGAGCGGGACGAGGTTCCAGGCCCACTCCGGAAGCGGAGCTGCCTGGACCAGCAGCCACAACGACTGCCACGTGAGAAGGACCCGTGGGGTCCAGAGGCGCAGCAGGGACATGACGTGCGGAGGCCCCAGCGCGAGCCGGAGCCCAAACACTTGTGGCAGCCCTGCCGCGCGAGCACCCGTAGCAACCGCGCCCGCCCCGCCCTTCATCTATGACACCTTCATTTACGCAGCAGCCTTTATTTAGCTCTGGTCGTCACTGAGTGGTGCCTGCGGGGCTGTAAAGAATGACGTCCATTCTCCCAGCCAGACATACGAGGCTTTCCTGGCCTGCCGCTTCTCCCTGAAAGGAAATCTGCCACCTCCCTTAACCCACCACGCCTGCCCGGGGCTGGCCAGCAACGCAGAATGTCCACTCTCGGAGGCCACGGGAGGCTGGACCTCACTGGGCCCCAGTCCTACCTGGCAGGACCTCTCAAGTTAATCGCAGTGGGTCCCCTCCTGTCCTGGCCTGAGGGGGCACTCTTCCATCTCTGCTTCTCTAGTCCTAAACAGACAAAGGACCCTTCCCTGTGGCACTGCTGGGCTGAAGTCTTGCAAAAGGACTGCTCTAGAGCTCTGGAGACAAAAAGGTCACAGGCCCAATGTGCTGGCCTGCCCGAGGGGACCTCTGTGACCCTTCTGCATCTGGCTCCTTCTGGCCCCACCACAGAGCCTGTCTCATCCTGAGACCCAGGACTGTCCTTGGCTCTGAGGAATGAAGACCAGCGAGACTGCGCAAGTGTTCCTGCACCAGGTTCTGGGCGGAGCTTGTTGCACGTCTCATTTTATTTTTTTTAATGTTTTTTTTTTTTTTGAGACAGCGTCTCACTTTGTTGCCCAGGCTAGAGTGAGTGCGGTGGTGTCAGGCTAGCTCACAGCAACCTCAAACTCCTGGGCTCAAGCGATCCTGCTGCCTCAGCCTCCTGAGTAGCTGGGGCTACAGGCATGCGCCACTATGCCCGGCTAATTTTTTTTTTTCTATATATAAATTAGTTGGCCAATTAATTTCTTTCTATTTATAGTAGAGACGGGGTCTCGCTCTTGCTCAGGCTGGTTTCGAACTCCTGACCTTGAGCAATCCGCCCGCCTCGGCCTCCCAGAGAGCTAGGATTACAGGCGTGAGCCACCACGCCCAGCCACGTCTCATTTTATAATTGTAAGAAGTTTCTGAGGTGGGTGTGAATGTCCTAACTTTACGGGTGAGCACGTTGAGGTGAGCAGCGTGCCCAAGATCGTGCAATAGGAAACAGCAGAGCTGGGGTTCTCACTCGGGCTGTCTTCCTTTTCATGTATTGGCTTGAACACTGGTTATGTGCCAGGCACTGTGCTGGGTGCTGGGCATAGGCTGGTGAGCAACAACAGAGTCCCCGCCCTCCTGGGCTTATAGGATTGTGGGGGGAGGGACACACAACAATAATCACGATGTATAAATGCAAAATGACAAACTGAAATAACAGAAGTGTTTGGGTCTCTGATGGTGTGTAACAGAGAAAGCTGACCTAGCTGGGCACTCAGAAGAGCAGCCTGAGGAATGGTTACCTGGACACAATGCTAAAAGATGACCAAGCAAAGGGAAAGAGAACTGCAAAGTGGGCACGGCATGTGCAAAGGTCCTGGGGTGGGGGTGGGGGAGCACGAAACATTTGAGAAACCCACGGGAAGCAGTGTAGCTGCAGTGCAGAAACTAAGAAAGCAGGTAAGGTTCACTGAATGTTCACTCTGAACAGACTGTTCTCACAACCTTGCAAGTACCCTCTTGTCATCTCCCCAGCCCCCTTGAGGCTGGTGCTGCTGGTGCATCCCTATTCTCCAGATGAAGAAACCGAGACACAAAGGATGAATCAATTACCCAAAACCTTCTAGCATGGCGGAGCTCAGATTGAATCCAGGTGGCCGACTCTAGAGCCCACGAGCCCAGCCACTAAGCCACACTGCTTCACAAGAGGGGGCAGGGGGTGGGCAGGCCATGCCAAAGCTTGGCTTCTTTTCCTTGGGCAGGTGGGATGGCTTCTAAGCAGGGCGGTGATGTAATCAGGTGTGTTTGTTTAAATGAGGCTGGGTGGAGTCGGGGTCACCAGGATGTGGGAGGGGCCGGGCTGGGAGCGGCTGCTGTGTCCAGGTGGGAGATATTAGTCCCTGAGGCCAGGGAGGGGCCCTGGCTGGAGAGGAGGAGTGCGGCTAGAGAGAACTACGGGACTGGGACGAAGGTCAGGTAGGGTGGCAGACAGAGAGGTGGAGATGGAGGGAGCAGGCCACATTCCCAGGTTCCTGGCTGCCCAGCTCGGGGGATGGCGGAGCCTGTTCCTGAGACAGGTGAAACCCTGGAGGAGGACAGGCGTGGGGAGGAGCATGAATCCAGTCTCGGACTGAGGACTGTCCCAGAGCAGACGTCACCAGGTTGTCAAGGGGACGCTGGGGTTGAGAGTTTTGGGGGCAGTCATGCCTGCTCATTAGTCACTATGTGGTGGGAGTGGACGGCGACATCCAGGAAGGGAGGCCGGCAGAGGAGGGCTGTCCCCACGGGCTCTGCCCCTACTGGCCACGCAGCAGAGAATGGGCGGCTTGGCCAGAGGTAGGAGGAAGACGAGGCTGTGGCATCGTGCGAGCCCAGAGGAAGGGCATGTTTCCAAGGCAGGAGCAGCCAGCAGAGGACAGGGTGTCCCCAAGAGGACGATGACTGTGAAGACCCAAAAGTACCCCACAGATATGATGTAGAATCTCAGTGGTCTGTTGGTGCATGGGGGTTGAGGAGTGAACAGGAGCAGCGCGTGGGGACAGCGAGTGTGGAAGACCCTTTTGAGAAGTGTGGCAGGGACTGGGCGTAGTGGGTCACAGCTGTAATCCTAGCACTCTGGGAGGCTGAGGCAGGCGGGTTGCTAAAGGTCAGGAGTTCGAAACCAGCCTGAGCAAGAGTGAGACACCTTCTCTACTAAAAATAGAAAGAAATTAATTGGCCAACCAAAATATATAGAAAAAATTAGCCGGGCATGGTGGCGCATGCCTGTGGTCCCAGCTACTCGGGAGGCTGAGGCAGGAGGATTGCTTGAGCCCAGGAGTTTGAGGTTGCTGTGAGCTAGGCTGACGCCACGGCACTCTAGCCCAGGCAATAGAGTGAGACTCTGTCTCAAAAATAAATAAATAAGTTTGGCAGGGGGGGAGGGCAAGGGAGAGGGGAGGGGAGAAGGAGGGAAGAGGGGGAGGAAAGCCAGCAGTTGCAGGGATATGGGGTTGAGGGAGGATTTTTCAGAGAGAGACTTGAACACGATCCCATGGTTAGGGGAAGGGGCCTGTTGGAAGTCAGAGCGGATGCCATGGGCACCACCCAGAATCCCTCCTCCAGGACCGAGCGTGAACTGCCCCAGCTGCAGGGGTTGGAGGCCACGGCTCTCCTCTGAGCCTCTCTCCAGGATGCGTCCTGGGCTGTGAGAGCCGTGTGGCCGAAATCCGTGCCCTCCCTGCCCCAGCCCTGGAAGGCAGTGGCCTGGCTCCTGGCCACAGTGTGGCACAACGCTGAGGCTGTCCCAGCTCCAGAGCTTCCCGTGGGTGGCTGAGGCCTTACGTGGGCCTGTGTCACAGCTCCATTGTCCCTGGGCCCTGTCCTGCCTCCCCAGCACGGGTGTGGGTCCTGAGCGCATGCCCAGTGAGCTTCCTGCTCACGGACCTCCTTCTCCCGGGCCTCAACCCCAGACAGCAGTTCAGTGAGCAAGAGAGAGGAGCGTCAGTGATCGTGGATGTTTCCCGAAAGACAGAGATCAGCTGTGCCATCCAGAAATGTCTGCCCCGAGCTTCCAGGGGGGAGGAGGCCAGGGAGGACGGGGTGAAGGAGGTCTGAGCTGGATGATGGGAAAGGTGTTTCCATTTTTCTGGGAGGTGGAGGCAGACCCTCTGCTGAGGGTGGGGAGGTCGGGAGGGCCTGGGGTTTGAGGAGAATGAAGACTCGAGACAGCTGGTGCAGAAAGTGACCCGATGGGACAGCAATTCTACAAACAGACTCACCAGTACCCACACCCACTCTGCCCCCTTTGTAACACCTAATAGAGTTTAGGGGTAGAAGGTATTCAGGCAGCCTCAAATCTCTTCATCAGCCCCGCCCCCAACTTATTGGGACAAAATATTAATTTACTCTCTTCCTAGGCTGGATTCTTTACCCTCACTCAGCCTTCGTTCCCTCCCTGCCCTCCCTGTCAATTGATCTGTTACTCAGCAATCAGTGGACTTGCTGGCCAGTGTGCATAGAAGCTGACGGATACCATGGCACCAGCCTTTGAGAAAAGGAAAGCTTTATCGAAAATCAACTGGCCAGGAGACAGGAGGAAATGCTCAAATCCCTATGAATTGATTTGAACTGATCTGTTACTCAGCAATCAATGAACTTGCTGGCCAATGTGCATAGAAGCCAATATCATGGCACCAGCCTTTGAGAAAAGGAAAGCTTTATTGAAAAGCAACTGGCCAGGAGACAGGAGGAAGTGCTCAAATCCCTGAGCTGGGAGCTGGTTCCGGTTGTATAAGCAGAGGGCAATGAGGCGTGATCTGATTGGATATTGCAATGCCATGATGCTGGCAGGAATGATCTGACTGGATCTTGCCATGGGGTGACACCAGGGCTCAATCTGATTGCATCCTGGATCCTGCCATGCAGTGTCCACTTCTTAATTCAGTCCCTACTCTTTGGTCTGAGCACTTAGGTTCCACTTATCGTTGCGCACTTGGTCCATCTGGGCATGCTCATGTTACTTGACCTTCAACCTGGGGGTCCATGGCAACTGAAAAACAATGCACAACTTTCTTACATAAAAGTTGAGCCAGTTTGGTCTGGTGTAGTTACAGGTTTACAAGGCCAATTTCTGCTTTAGTCCTTATTCCTCATTCTGATCCTGATGTAATTTATTTTATAATCTAGTACATTCAGCTGGGCGCGGTGGCTCACGCCTGTAATCCTAACACCCTGGGAGGCTGAGGCAGGCGGATTGCTGGAGGTCAGGAGTTTGAAACCAGCCTGAGCAAGAGCGAGACCCCATCTCTACTATAAATAGAAAGAAATTAATTGGCCAATTAATATATATAAAATTAGCCGGGCATGGTGGCGCATGCCTGTAGTCCCAGTTACTCGGGAGGCTGAGGCAGAAGGATTGCTTGAGCCCAGGAGTTTGAGGTTGCTATGAGCTAGGCTGATGCCACGGCACTCACTCTAGCCTGGTCAACAAGCGAGACTCTGTCTTAAAAAAAAAAAAAAATCTAGTACATTCTTTCATCTTTTCCTTTTTTCCCTTCCCTCCTCCCTTCCATCCACATGCCTATTATGTACTAGACACTAGGAGAGGCATAGGGGGTACAAAAGTGAGCAAAAATAAATCTAGTCTCTGACTTTACAGTTTAGTGGGAAGGATTTATGATAATTATGATATATATGATATATGATATATATGATAATTACACAAACAAATGTGTAATTGCAACTTGATACAGGGTCAGTGAAGGAAAGTTACGTCATGCTAGGAGAGCATACAGCTCAAGGAAAGAGGCCATTCGGCAGAGACAGATCTGAAAGGTGAGTGGCTGTTAGATAAATCAGGAGGTGCTAAAAGCATTCCTAGCAAAGCAAATGCAGGTGCACAGGCCCTGAGGTAGAAAGGGGCCTATCCAATCCCAGGTTCTGAAGATTATGGCTTGAGTTGAAAGACAGGGACATCTTTGTGAAACCAGGAAAGTGGGGTAGGGACTACATCTCGCAAAGCCCTTGTGATTTAGCAAATAATAGAGCTGGAACCCATTCTACTAAGTGAAGTATTTCAAGAATGGAAGAACAAGCACCACATGTACTAACCAGCAAATTGGTACTAACGGATCAACAACACCTAAGTGGACATGTAGGAATAACATTTATTGGGTGTCGGGCAGGTGGGAGGGGAGAGGAGGGGATGAGTATATATAAACATAATGAGTAAGATGTGCAATGTATGGGGGATGGTCACACTTGAAGCTCTGACTCGAGGGGGGGGCATGGGCAATATACGTAACCTTAACATTTGTACCCCCATAATATGCTGAAATAAAAAAAAATACAAGGTGCCAAGTGGAATTTAATTTCAGATAAACAAGGAATAATTGCATGGGATATACTTATAAACAATTATTCATTATCTGAAATTCAAATTGACTGGGTATCCTGTATTCTATTTGGCAACCCTACTTGTAGGTCAAGGTAAGAATTGGATTTTGTTCATCCTGAGAACAAGGTATTAAAGTGTTTTAAGCAGGGAGTGGTATAATCTGATTAGAATCTTGAATAGATCATACTGGCTACAGATTGGAAAGAGACAAAAAAAAAAAAAAAAAAAAAAAGGCAGGAAGACCAGAAGACCAGGAAACAATTACCATAGTCCAAGTAAGAGAAGGGGCTTGGAATAGGGGTGGCTGTGTTCAGCTATGTTCAGAAGATTAAATCAAGAGTACTTGGCAACCTGCTCCATTCCCACTGCTTTTGATTCCTTCCAGGGCTCTATGATGCCCCAATCCATATCACCTGGGCTCTATCACAAAGTCTAAGATCATATGGGTGGTAGCTTATTTGTCATCCCAAACTTAACACAGCCAAAATAGAAGTCTGGGTCTGGCCTCTCCAAACCACCCCTTGCAAATCTCCCGCTCCCCCTGCCCAGTAAGGAACACCCCGATTCACCTGGCCACTCAAGGTCAACATGTGGAACTTGCCCTCAATTCCTCTCAATCCGTCCCCATCCTGTTGACTCTACCTTCAAATTGCATCCTGAATTGGTCCACTTTTTCCTATCCCCACTATTATCCCCTACCACAAGCCACTGTCTCTTGCATCCAGATGAATGTTCAAAATTCATCTTTCTGTTTCTGCTTTTATTCCCTGGGAGCTGCTCTCTACTCAGGAGCCAGAGTGATCTTTTCAAACAGAAATCAGATCTTAGCTTAAAACTCTTTAATGACTTTTTACTGCATTCAGAATAAAATGCCATCTCTGCACCCTAGCTTATGGAGAGTCCTGTCAGATCAAGGTCCCTGTCTGTCTCACCTGTCGCCTTCAGTTCTCCCCGTCACCTGCCTCCTCCTTGGCTATCACATCTCAGAGGAATGTTCTTCTCCTCAGAGACTTTTCCTGTGCAGATTGCCTCCCCACACTCAGAACTCTCTGGGAGCAGGAACCTCGTCTGTCTCATTCTCTGCTGAATTCACAGCTCCTAGGCACTGATGAATATTTGTGAAATGCCATGTCAGTTGTAACTCCCCCATCCCACCCCTACCCAAAAAAAGAAATGATTTCTAATTCAGATGTATCACTTGAAATTTTTTAGAAATAAAATAATCAGGGAAATTCCGAGAGAAGGATGTTTGGTTACTCTTTTTCTCTTTCTTCCTTTTTTTTTTTTTTTTTTTTTTTTGAGACAGAGTCTCACTCTGTTGCCTGGGCTAGAGTGCTGTGGCATCAGCCTAGCTCACAGCAACCTCAAACTCCTGGACTCAAGCAATCCTCCTGCCTCAGCCTCCCAAGTAGCTGGACTATAGGCATGGTCACCATACCAGCTAAGTTTCTATATATTTTTAGTTGGCCAATTAATTTCTTTCTATTTTTTTTTTTTAGTAGAGATGGGATCTCGCTCAGGCTGATTTCGAACTCCTGACCTTGAGCGATCCTCCCACCTCGCCTCCCAGAGTGCTAGGATTACAGGCATGAGCCACTGCCCACGGCCTCTTCCTTTTTTTTTTTTTTTTTTTTTTGCCCAGACTAGAACACAGTGGCATGCATCATCATAGCTCACTGCAACCTCAAACTTCTGGCTCAAGCAATCCTCCTGCCTCAGCCTCCTGAGTAGCTGGGACCACAGGAATGCACCACCACTCCTGACTAGTTTTTCTATTTTTTGTAGACATGAGGTCTCACTATGTCACTCTGGTTGGTCTTGAACTGGCCTCAAGCAATCCTCCTGCTTTGGCCTCCAAAAGTGCTGGGATTATAGGCCTAAGCCACCTTGCCTGGCTTGGTGATTACTGTTTTGTTTTTTCCTTGAGGATTGGAGTAAAGAATACTTCCCCCAAAATTATCAGCACAAAACAGAGTATTGATTATTAACTGAGTCTTTCTACTGGAGTTTAATGCCAAATAAATGACTATAATGAGAGAATTACATTTCTAATAAAATTCCCTATATTCTAGAAACATCCTACTTTAATTTTTTTACCTAAATCTTTTTGTGCTTTATATATAAAGAAAAAAATGTGCTGAGTTACAATGCATTTTACTAACACTATGTACATATTAGCTGCAATGTGTTCCAAATGATAGCAATTGCTTTGCATATTAAAGTGATCCTTGTGAATTTGTGAAATATTGTCATAAAATGCTTTTTCTTCTTGTAATCTTTGTGGTATCAACTGTCATGATGCTCTTTTTATACAAACACTTATGTGCCATCACATATACATGATTAAAAAAAAATTTATTTGTGGCAGGACGTGGTGGCTCACGCCTGTAATCCTAGCACTCTGGAAAGTCAAGGTGGGGAGATGGCTCAAGGTCAGAAGTTCAAAACCAGCCTGAGCAAGAGCGAGACCCCATCTCTACTATAAATAGAAAGAAATTAATTGGCCAACTAAAAATATAGAGAAAAAATTAGTTTGGCATGGTGGCGCATGCCTATGGTCTCAGCTACTCTTGAGGCTGAGGCAGAAGGATCGCTTGAGCCCAGGAGTTTGAGGTTGCTGTGAGCTAGGCTGACCACCGGTACTCACTCTAGCCTGGGCAACAAAGTGAGACTCTGTCTCAAAAAAAAAAAAAAAAAAAATGGGATAGAGTTATCATTTGATCCAGCCAGATGTGGTGGTACAAGCCTGTATCTCAGCCACTCAGGAGGCTGAGGTGGGAGGATAACTTGATCTCAAGAGTACGAGACCAGCCTGAGCAACATAGTGAGACCCCATCTCTTAAAAAAAAAAAAGTTGGCTGGGCGCAATGGCCCATGCCTGTAATCCTAGCCATCTGGGAGGCCAAGGCAGGCAGATTGCTCGAGGTCAGGAGTTCAAACCAGCCTGAGCAAGAGTGAGACCCCGTCTCTACTATAAATAGAAAGAAATTATGCCAACTAATATATATAGAAAAAATTAGCCGGGCATGGTGACGCATGCCTGTAGTCCCAGTTACTCGGGAGGCTGAGGCAGAAGGATTGCTTGAACCCAGGAGTTTGAGGTTGCTGTGAGCTAGGCTGACGCCACGGCACTCACTCTAGCCTGGGCAACAAAGAAGACTCTGTCTCAAAAAAAAAAAAAAAATTTAAATATACCTATTAGGTCTAGACACAATTAGGGCAGAGCATGGTGGCTCATACCTGTAATCCTAACACTCTGGGAGGCCGAAAGGCGGGTGGGTTGTTTGAGCTCAGGAGTTCGAGACCAGCCTGAGTAATAGCAAGATCCCACCTCTACTAAAAATAGAAAGAGGCCGGGCGCAGTGGCTCACGCCTGTAATCCTAGCACTCTGGGAGGCCGAGGCGGGCGGATTGCTCGAGGTCAGGAGTTCGGAACCAGCCTGAGCAACAGCGAGACCTCGTCTCTACTATAAAACAGTAGAAAGAAATTAACTGGCCAACTAACATATATATAGAAAAAATTAGCCAGGCATGGTGGCACATGCCTGTAGTCCCAGCTACTCGAGAGGCTGAGGCAGGAGGATTGCTTGAGCTCAGGAATTTGAGGTTGCTGTGAGCTAGGCTGACACCACGGCTCTCACTCTAGCCTGGGCAACAAAGCGAGACTCTGTCTCAAAAAAAAAAAAAGAAAAGAAAGAAAAAATTAGCCTGGCATGGTGGCGCATGCCTGTAGTCCCAGCTAGCTTGGGAGGTTGACAGAAGGATGCTTGGCCCAAAAGTTATTGGGATATTGCTGTGAGCGTAGGCTGATTCAGTGGGCAACAGAGGAGGACTCGTGTGCCTCAATAAGATAAATATTTTGTAGGAAAGAATACAACATGTGTCCCAAAGAGTATGATCAGAAGAGGTTCTGTTAGATTCTTCCTCTTTTTCTAATTTTTGCTATGGAGAAACCATCTTCAGAGGAGTCTGCCTAAATCCCAATAATATTGTTCAATTCTTTGCTGTGGTCTGAACATTTACCTCAAAGGTGTTCTGACATTTTGAAACTGGAAAACATATCTCAGAGCATCTTAGATCTTATTTAAAAACCATCAGAACTTTCATATAATATAGAGATTTGGTGGCATACACATTTCTATAATACCATCCACCTTCTTTGCAAAATGGTCCTTCTACAAATATTCCTTTGACAAAGCACTTACTATACCCCACTCATGCAATGCCTGCATCATCAACTGTTACTTTCCATGACAAATCTATAATGGGTAACATCTTCCCTTTCGAATATGGGCAGGCATCCCTTCCTACCCATTATATAATTAGACTTGTTCATTGTATATTTATACATCTGATTCTGTTCTAGGAATTGAATGAGAGAGGCAATATCTTCCCCCAGTCTTCACAGCTAGGCAGCCAGCAGCATAAACATGACAAACAATCCAGATGGAACATCCACAGCACACAGTAAAATGGACAGGGTCAAAGTTGCCTTTGAAGACCAGCTCTTAAATGTCTCTAACCAGTGATGGATAGCTAGGCCCTGTCCTTGTTCATTAACCTTGATGGATGCATATTGGAAGTGGAATGCTTCAAACTGTTCCTAGTTCAGGCTAGGTTACAGAAGGTTCCTGGTTCCCTAATTATAGCCAGTGTCCTTTCCTAAAAGGAGTGTAATGTCCTTTCCAAAAAGGAGTGTAATCTCCTTTAATAGTTTACCAAACTGAGTCTAATTTGCAGATGAATATGCAAGTGTAGTTCCAGCTTTCTCAACCATTAAGTCTTATTTTACCCTAACAGATCAAGTCCACATTCTATTTATTTCCATGGTTTGCAACATAAGTGTAATTCATTCAACAAACATGTATTAAATTCCTTGTCTGGATCAGTCACTAGTGCTGGTGCTATGAATACAAAAATGTAAAGTCATTCATTCAATCAAACAGCACATTTCTGCTGCGTGCCTACTAAGTGCTAGGAAATGGGGATGCACAGGTGAATATGACAGGAGCCTCCAACCCCAAAGAAGCTTATGACATAGTGGAGGAGACTAGGTAGGTAAGCAAACAAATAAAATAATTACAAACTATGAGAAAAAGAAAACAAATATGTTTCTGTATTAACAGAATGATGAACAAGACTTGTTTTAGCCGAGGTAAAAAGGAAGGCCTCTTTAATGGTGTTGTCCTCATCGTCTCTCACCTGGACAACTATAATAGCTTTCTAAGGAATCTCTCTGTTTGGGCCCCAGGACATTTGTACTTGCTGCTGAGAATGTTCTTGTATGACCCTTTTCACTATCTTAAAAATTATTTTTGATTTAAAAATGCTATTTATGTTGTTTAAAAATTACAACAAATTTAGTTATAGTTCTAATTGGCTTTTATTCACAATTCATGAATCAGGGCAACCTGTATTCTACAAAAAAACAGAGTTGCCATTGGGCAATGGCAGAACAGTGGGATTTGCAAGGTGGGAACAAAGAAATAGAATAGGAAAAAAAGCTCATGGTTAATGTCAGGATAATTCTTTTGTAAGGGTTAAATCCAAAGGGATTTCTTATTTTGCCAACTCAGGTAGAGTTGGCAGAGCCTCAGTTTTTTGTTTTTTCTTTTATTTAGAGACAGGGTCTCACTGTCACCCAGGCTGGAGTGCAGTGGCATAATCATTACTAACTGCCACCTTCAACTTCTGGGCTCAAGTGATCCTCCCACCTCCAGAGTAGCTGGGACTATAGGTATGCACCACCACATCCAGCTCTGGTCCTCAGTAATTTTTAAGAATATAAAGGAGTCCTGAAACCATAAGGTTTGAGAACTCCTCTTTTAGTGTCTTCAGGTTGAAGAAGATAGAAAGTACAAGTTCAATATTATGACTAAGGTTTCACTGTTTATCCATTAGTCCCACAAATATTTATAGGAGAGACACTATGCCAGACACTAATGACAAAACCAGAGTTCCCTCAAAGAAATAGAATGAGTTATAGGAATAACTAGACCATCCTGGCACTGGATGACATGTAACAAAAGCACTGGTACCCAGAAGTCAGACTTTTAATTGTCTAAGGGAGTCAAGGAGGACTTCCTGGAGGAGAAGGAGAAGTCTAGAAAAAGATCCAAATATGGGAAGTACATACAAACAAGATTCAGTAGAGGGGCTGATTTGCTGGGAGGAAAAGAAAGGTTTCACAGAGGCAGAGATGTCTGGGCTGAATTTCAATACAGACAGTATTGTTTTTTCTGCTAACAAAGGGGCCACAAATTTGAAACTTAAATTCTTTGGTCCCCTTGAAAAACAAAAGGCCTGTTAGCCTTGTAAGAATTTACTGTAGGCCCTCTGGGAAACCCAGACCAGAGGATCCCTGAGCACAGGAGTTCAAGGCTGCAGTGAGCTATGATACTGCACTCCAGGCTGGGTGACAGAGGGAGACTCTGTCTCTTAAAATAATAATAATAAAAAAAAAGGCCGGGCGTTGTGGCTCACACCTGTCATCCTAGCACTCTGGGAGGCCGAGGCAGGCGGATTGCTCAAGGTTAGGAGTTCGAAACCAGCCTGAGCAAGAGCGAGACCCTGTCTCTACTATAAATAGAAAGAAATTAATTGGCCAACTAATATATATAGAAAAAATTAGCCGGGCATGGTGGTGCATGCCTGTAGTCCCAGCTACTTGGGAGGCTGAGGCAGGAGGATCACTTGAGCCCAGGAATTTGAGGTTGCTGTGACTAGGCTGGCGCCACAGCACTCACTCTAGCCTGGGCAGCAAAGCGAGACTCTGTCTCAAAAAAATAAAATAAAATAAATTAAAAAAGAATTTCCTCTATTTGAATCCTTCACAATAGCTGGATATTCTAATTTTTCCAGTGTTGTAATGAGGCAATGAGGAACCACGCAAATGGCTATGTGGTGGATGCTTAGCTAAACCGAGGGATTTTATAACACATAGTACATTTGTTGAGTAATTGCCCATTAGATGTTTTCTCCCTAAGAATATACACAATTAAGCTTTTTTATTTTGAATTTTGTACATTAACTATTGAATCAGCCACGCTTATCTTAGAAACACAAATTTCTCCCGGAAATGAAGCCTTGCCAAAAAATGGCCTCACCGTCATCAAGCTGTCAGTAGTCTGAATTTCCTGTAAACCAGGGAGAGACTTCCCCGCAGGGGCTAGGAGTGCAGGGGGGACAGAGACAACCCGGCAGGCCTCAAAGGCTGCAGAGACTGGAGCTCTCTGGCGGGTTCTGAGAAGCTGGAGGGGATTAAGCACTTCCATTCATGAACAGCACGTTACTGACAGCACATCTAAAGAGAGAAATCTTTTTTCTTTGCCACATTGTTCCACGAGGCCGTGGTAGAAATTCCTAGGGAGTTTCCTTAAAGTAAAAAAGAACCTACTTTATTTACATTCGCCCACTTCCCAAACCCATCCTCTGTCTCTCAAATCCATACAGTTAACTGCGCGCAACACACACGATACCGTTTCCGGGTCTGGCCCTTCCCATCCTCTCCAGAAGCACATCCGGGAGTCGGGGAAGGCGTGGCCTTGGAAGGCGGGGTCTAGACGCAAACTCCAAGCTCCGCCCAGATGATGGCGTATCTAATTCCGTGCGCTCCTTCGGCCCGCCAGAGGTCGCAGGCTGTGAGAGTGGGTTTCTACTTTCGCTAGCGCCCGCCCCCTCTCGCATTCATTCTCGCGAGACAAGGCGCGAGGCCTGCCGGGAGCGATGCGCGGTCTTCCGTAGGTTCGCGCAAAATGGCAGCCCTGGAAGAAGAATTCACGTTGTCTTCTGTAGTTCTGGGCGCCGGGCCTGATGGACTCCTAGGCGTGGAGCACAGCGACAAAACAGACCAGTTTCTAGTGACCGACAGCGGCAGGACCGTCATTCTCTATAAGGTGAGAACGATAGAATCGAACTACCCGGGCTCCCGTCTCGCCTTTCTGAGCGCGGAGCCCGAGCTCGGGTTTCTTACAGCTCCAGAAAGATACCGTGGGGCCAGCTTAGCAGAGAGCCAGCTTGGCCTGTCTGGGACGCTGAGTGAGGCCTAGAATCTGGCTTAGTTATTTTCCTGTAGGAGCATATTTCAGAGTTGTAAGCGACAGAGCGTCTAAGTGCACGTGGGCTAGACACGAAAAGGAAAGGGAACCGGTGCTTTTGCTTCGACACTTGCAGGGGTGACCTTTGCTAAGGAGCCCGTCCTGGGGTCTTTGTTATCCTTGCTGCCCGCAGAAGAGTGGAACGGAGATTGGTTGGGCAGGAGAGAATGACACTGACAGGGTAGGAATAGTGGTTTAGTTTTGTGTCTGTATCCTTCATCCTTCTCTCCTTGGGAAAAAAACATTTTGAGGAGAAAGGGGCTTTCTTGGTAGGTTGATAAGAATCTTGATTCCAAATGACTTGTCTGTTGGCAACTCTGCTTCACACTGTGAATCCTGGAGTTGAGTCCGGGGAAATCTGCACGCCCCGCCCCCTTTTGAGCCTAACGCCAGACTCAACATCAACACACTTTTCATACCTTTCATCTGGTGGTTGCGTGGAAAGCAATTATAATATTTTTTTTTCTGAGCTGGTGAACATAGTTTTCTGTGTCTTTAAGAAGTTAGCTATAATCTTTGAAGTTTTGGAAACAGGTTGCCAACAACTCCCTGCACTGTTTTGGCACTGCTTACTCTGTTGGTCTTTACCTCGGCTGGATTTGCGGTTTTGCAGTTCCTACATAGGAAAACAGCCGATTGGAATTGAATAGACATGATCCCAGTTATACGTATTTAATTTCCCATGTCTCTGTTCAGAGGCATCATGGAGTTAATTTTTAAAATTTACTCTTTTTAATATACTATTTTTAAGGGTTTTTAATTTACATTTTTTAATTTTAGGAACTTAGTTATTAAATATATTTTTATTTTAACTGCTGTTTAAAAGTTTTTAATATTTTAGTTGTGGTAAAATACACATAAAATTTACCATCTTAACCATATTTAAGTTTACATACCCTTCAATGGTATCAAGTACATTCACATTATTATGCAGCAATCACCACTGTCAACCGGAACTCATTCATCTTGCCAAATTAAAATTCTGTACCCATTAAACAATAACTCCCTATTGCCCCCAGCCTCTGACAACCACTGTTCTTTCTGTCTCTATCAATTTGACTACTGTAGGTACTTCATATTAGTGGAATCTTCAGTATTTGTTCTGACTACTTATTTTAACTTAGGAAATTTGTCAAGGGCTGTCATTTTAATGGTTTATTTTGATTGTAAATGTATAAATAATTGCTTTTGATGTCTGAAATTGACTTATTTAATATTGTATTTATTTTAATTTCATTAGCTTTCTGATCAGAAAACCTTGGGGAGTTGGTCAGTGAAACAAGGTCAAATTATAACATGTCCAGCTGTGTGCAACTTTCAAACTGGAGAGTATATTGTTGTACATGATAATAAGGTGAGTTTTAAAACTTTTATATAATAGTATATAGAATACAAGTCAAATGTTGATTTATTAACTATTTGTGTTTGTCATATAAATGGAGAATGGCATACATTTTAACTTGTATGTTTTCATTTTAGGTTTTGAGAATATGGAATAGTGAAGACGTAAACCTGGATAAAGTGTTTAAAGCTACAGTAAGTCTTTAGATTTTCCAACATATTTATTTAGCTTATGATGAAATGGAATCATTCATAATAGAGTATGCGTTATTTATCTTAATGCCTCTGGAAAAGTGAGCATAAGGTTACAATCAGTTTTTCATTCTAGTTAGTGAACTTCCTGTGCCCTTTCTCAGAATAGACCCTGCAAGTTTTGTGTATTGTACATTTTAAGAGTGGCACATAATACAGTAAAAAAAGAAACGTGACTACCTGGCCTTTTCTACCAATGACCTAAAGTATGTTAATTAACTTTTTCTTACTTATAAAATGAGGATCTCAAACTAGGTTAATCTCAAAAGTTCCTTCCAGTTTTAAATGTCTGACTCTAAATATAACTGGCACATTTTAGAATTGGCTCACAATAGGGCTGATTCAAATATAATGTAGTTGTTGTCTAAATCCTTAAAACTTCTAGGTAACTTGCTGTACTTTCCCCTGGCTCCAGTCTTTTCCTTTACCTTGGGGTAGAACAATCCTGAATTTTACATAGGAGAGGTTGTTTTTGTTTGTTTGTTTTACCTCACATATATTGTTAATTTCTTTTTTTTTTTGAGACAGAGTCTTACTTTGTTGTCCAGGCTACAGTGAGTCCCGTGGCGTCAGCCTAGCTCACGGCAACCTCAAACTCCTGGGCTCAAGCGATCCTACTGCCTCAGCCTCCTGAGTAGCTGGACTACAGGCATACGCCACCATGCCCAGCTAGTTTTTTCTATGTCTATTAGTTGGCCAATTAATTTCTTTCTATTTATAGTAGAGATGGGGTTTTGCTCTTGATCAGGCTGGGTTCGAACTCCTGACCTGGCGCTATCCGCCCACCTTGGCCTCCCAGAGTGCTAAGATTACAGGCGTGAGCCACGGCGCCTGGCCTATTGTTAATTTCTTTTCTTGGTATTATAGGCTGTAGTTATAATTGTGGCATTAGTCCTAATCTAACACCAGAACTGTGTGTACGTCTGTATTAGTGGCTTTATTTGTACCTTCTCCACCCTCAGTTTTGGGAGACCCTGGTTTTAGCCTAACCTCCAGTATTTGCAATGGATAAGCCAAAAGTGAGTAAAAAGCATTACCTATGGAGGAGACATAGGGACAGAGTAGGGAGGGTAAGAGCAGAAGTTAGACTTCTGAATGTATTTTGTGTTGTATCTTTGATTTTGGAACCATACGTAGTTATAAAGCAATATTAAATCAAAGTGAAAACAAGTTAGTCCCTTAAAAATAAGCCTTGTAGGCCGGCCTTAGTGGCTCATGGCTGTAATCCTAGCACTGTGGGAGGCAGAGGCAGGATGATCACTTGAGGTCAGGAGTTTGAGACCAGCCTTAGCAAGAGTGAGACTCCCATTTCTACCAAAATAGAAAATATTAGCCAGGTGTGGTGGCAGCACCTGTAGTCTCAGCTAGTCAGGAGGTTGAGACAGGAGGATGGCTTGAGCCCAGGAGTTTGAGGATACAGTGAACTATGATGATGCCACTGCACTCTAGCCAGGGTGACAGAGTGAGATTCTGTTGGGGGTGTGGGGGTCAGGGGGGAGCCTTCTGTAAATGTCCCTATTATATTAGGTATAAATTGTTTTAGAATAAAAATTGAAATAGCCTTGCATTTTTTCAGTTGTCGGCTGAGGTCTGTAGGATACATTCAATACAAGGAACAGAACCCTTGGTGCTATTCAAGGAAGGAGCTGTCCGTGGTTTAGAGGCTTTGCTTGCAGAGCCCCAGCAGAAAATTGAAACTGTTATCTCCGATGAAGAGGTGATTAAGTAAGTTCTGATGCTTATAAGTGAATTTATCAAAATGAAAATGTACTGTATGTTTTTAATTATATTTTTGCCATGTTCAAAAGTATTTTTGGTTATAAACATTATAAAAGTAACCTGATTAAAAACATTTTTAAGACATTGACCAAAATAACATCCCAGAAGTCTCTGGAGTGATTAGATGACTCAGGAAACCATAGTCTTATGAGTCTTTTTCTAATGACAGAGAACTGGACAGTCAGTTATTTGAAGAGGAAATGGGTTATCCCAAAAGACCGAACTCTTTCTGTTTCTGTCATATTGCCCTGACTGCCAAGCTTATAACTTTTCCCCTTGGCAAAAAGTGCAGCTTGTCATTAATGAAATCATGATAGTGCTTTAAGACCTTTGCTTTTCCAGATTCTGGAAAAAAACTGGGAAAATGACCCACTGAAATGATAGAAGGACATTTCATGATTTCACTTCTCTCTAATCATCATTTCATCACGTTGCCTGTCCATATGACTTGCTGCTTCTCCAGGTCCACTTGGTGGGAACTAAATTTCTAAAAGTCAAACACTTGTACTTAGTAAGTGAACAATGTGGACAATGAGCAGTTATGTCTTAGACTGACCTAATGAATACCTCTAAGGTGTGAGCAACTATGTTTGGGGTAACTCTTGAGAGGATTTTTTTCTAATTGCCACTCTGCCATAAACTGGCTACACAACCCTTCAATGTCCCCCTTGTGCCTTAATTCCCTCTCGTGAAGCGAAGAAGCAAGCATGAATCTTCTAATATTTCCTTAGAACATGCATCCCCCAAAAGTAACTATGAAAAAAGGAGGCCAGGCAAAGTGCCTCAAACCTGTAATCCTAGCACTCTGGTAGACTGAAGCAGGAGGGTTGCGTGGAGGTCAGAGTTCGGAGACAGCCTGAGCAAGAGTGGACCCCCCACTTCTACAAAAAATAGAAAACTTAGCTGTTGTGGGTGGCGCACCAGTCTGTAGTGCCCCTGAGGCCTACCCGAGGAGGGCTAAACGACAGGAGGATTGCTTGAGCCCAGAGGTTTGAGGATACAGTGAGCTATGATGATTCCACTGCTCTCTAGCCAGAGTGACAGAGTGAGACTCCGGCTGAAAAAAAGAAGGAAAGAGAGAAGGCGGGGAGAGAG